ATTGCAATCATAAGACTGCAGAGAATTAACAAAATAAAGCCAAGCCAAAATCATTTCACCCTGATGGCATGCCACAAGTGGCAACAAACTCCTGGATAATTCATGGCAGGCTGAAAGAGAAATGAGAGAGAGGAAAGAAAAAACAGAAAGCAATCGATCTCCTCCACCCCAAGCACACCTGTGTTGCCTTCCCACCATCACAGGAAGAGCATGGCAGCAGGGAGAGGCTCCAGATACCTGCTGTGTTCCAAGCAGTGGGAAGACTGGCTCCAACAGGGCAGGGGGCAGTACCCCCACAGCCTCTCTTGTCCTCTTTAAAAGAGGTTTATTTTTACAGCTCATTTTCAGTTACATATTAATGTCAGGGAAAATAACTCCCGCATTACTCAGCCTTAAAGCCTGCTCAGAATTCCTACCCCTCTTTGTGTAAGACTGCTTGAAACTCACCTTGGAAGGGAAAAAGGCCACTACCAAAGACACACTCGCCATTTCATATTATTTAATAGCAGCCTTCCCCTCCCCTGAACTTTCAGGCCAGAATCTCCACCACACAAACCTGCCAAACAGGACACCTCATTATTCCAACATGTGCAAGCAAAGCGATAGGGAGTTTCGCAGTAAAACTGATAAGGAGGGACATAAAAGACTAATGAGCAGGCTGCCTGCTCCACTGCTGGGCTAGCCAAGGTCCCCCAGAGCACCTTTGGTATTGTTCCATCGGGAGACAGACACTGGGACACGACCAAAAATAACATTTAGAGATGTATGGGAGAAATGAACACAAGGTCTGCAGCTCGGCCATTTAATCCAGGCGTGGAAAGAAATTATATGAGAGAGGATAATCAGCAGAAAAAACACGTGATGTAGAGCAGAAAGAGCCAATTAAATGTACACAGGTTACTGAGCAGCACGACCCTCCTTGTGCTGTTTGATCACCAGCCCAATGCCACATCTGCTGCTGAAATAAATTGACAAATCTCTTTGTGACCTGTGCCTGTGGTACAGGTGACTGGAAATAAGGGTCCCTGGCTAAAGAGGCACAGTGCTGAACAGTCTAGAGAGGAGGACACATACGAAGAGCTGTTCAGGTCCATGGGTGTGCTCAGCGCAGAGCAGAGGAGCTGAGGGGAGGCCTGATGGCGGCTGCAGCTCCTCACAGGGAGCGGAGGGGCAGCGCTGAGCTCTGCTCTGTGTGACAGCGACAGGGCCCGAGGGAACGGCATGGAGCCGTCAGGGGAGGGGCAGCTGGGGGTCAGGGACAGGGTCTGCACCACAGGGTGGTGGGCATGGAATGGGCTGCCCAGGGCTGTGGTTATGGCCCCAAGTGCCAGAGTTCACAGAGCATCTGGACACTGCTTTCGGACATAGGGTTTGGATTTTGGGTGGTACTGTGTGCAGCCAGGAGTTGGACTCCATGATCCTCAGGGGTCCCTTCTGACTAGAGATACTTTGTGATTCTATGAATGACCACGGTCAGTGAGCAACAGTCAGCCAGCAGGGCCCACCGTACAGAGGTGCAGAAAGCCCAGCAGTGACCAGAAAGAGCAGCAGCCTCTGGGAGGGAAAAGGGCGCACCTGAAACTTGGTGGTGTTTGCATTCCTGATAGGTTCTCCAGCTTACAAGTAAGTCATCTTTTGACCTAGGAAAAAAACTGCACCAGGCAAGCCAGCTTCCCCAGCAGCCTGCCCTAGAGGTACTGATCCTATTTGCTGCGTGGTCTGCACTAGAAGGAAGCTGTTGCTTCAAGTAGGGATGGCTTGCTCTAACATCTCAGTTCAAAAAGCAACAGCTTTCCCTCAGACAGAGCCACCTGCATGGCATATCTCCAGCTACAGGATTTCTGTAAGGAAATGTGCAGGATGGAATGAGACTGCGATGTCCAGTCACCCTGCAAGCTCCATGCCCTTACTTTGGCCCCAAAACAAAGCTGGCGTATTTGGAAGGTACCTAGGTCTTACATTATTCTTAACATCTTTACTTCTTTTAGAAATCTTGTACCACGGGATACAGCCTCTGGTTTTGATGCTAAGGTAGCAGAAAAAAAATATATATATATGTATATATATATATATTTTTTTTTTTTTATATGTGTATGTATATATATATAGCAGAAAAAAAAATATATATATATATACATATATATATATATACATATATATATATACACACACACACACATACACTTATATTTAATGGCAAGCATGAGAACAGTGCATAGGCAAGGCCCCATGGGTAAGGAAAGCAGCAACAGATCTTGCAGCAGGCTTCAGCACAACACCCACTTTGTGACCCGGGACAGAAAACCCAGGCAGCAAACACATGGCCTTACACTAACATACCTGCCAGCCCTGCACCAGTTCCTCACACCCAGCAACAAACATGCACTGTGTGGCCACCTTCTGCCATGAATCTCAGTATCCAAATTCCATGACTTGAGATTGATGCTCTTTGTTCCATTCTACATAGCAGTGCCAGAACAGATGCCTAACTTCCAAGGGCTTGTTGTAAAAATCATGATTCCCTCTGAGATCAACAGAAAACAGCTCGCTGGCACCTCCACGAACTTCACCAACAAGGCTTCATTTTATCTGAATAGCAACTAACAGAGCCACCATTCTTTTTCACTAAGCCCTTTTTTGAACACCCAAACATTAAAAATAATTTCCACAACTTATATATCCAGATTTAAAAAGTCATTTCATACTCCATGTCTCAAATCCCCCAAAAAGGCGCCTTATATTTTCCTCTCTCCTAATATTTAATCAACTTCATTTCATTACAGACAAGCCTAAAGAGCTCATAATGCTGCAATTGATTACAAACAAGATAGCGCCCACATCTGACGAAGGCTGACCTAATTGTCTGTCTCGTCTATATTTCTGCAGGGCAAATTTACTGACATTTTGTGCAAATTCAAAGCTGGCTGAGCCCAATGACCTTTAATACCTCTGTAATTAGTCTTCCGTGCCTTTACAACCAGAAGAGCAGTCGCCCCTTTTCTCCCCCTAAGTCAGCAGTCCAGCTGTAAACTACAAACTTCACAGCCTACTCAGCACCTACAGTCAGTCAAGCATTCGCAAAAACAACAAAACCCACTGTAGAAAGTACACAAGCTGTGACCTTTCAAGGTCACAGAATCAGGTCTGGAAAGGCCCTTTTCAGACAAGCACACCAGTTTCCAAAAGAAGAAACAGAACTAGTGAGGCAAGTTGGTGGACAAAGTCAATAAACAGGATTTTTATCATGCTTTCCTAAAACAAAACACACACACACACAAAGAAAAAAAAAACACCAAAACAATGTACTGAGGTAGTTCCAAAAGTAATGCCTTCTATTTACCTCCAAGGAAACTACAGCAGATACACAACACTCTTTGAGAGAGCAAATTATCCACTACAAAACACCATTTTTCAACACAGCACCATTAGCTAAGTATGCCATGCTCGTGAACATCTGCACCAGTGGAGGCGATCCATTGTAGCTTTCCCCACTGCTGACATGCACCACCCACTGCCTCACTGTGCTCACATCCACTGGTGGGGCTCCAGAAATATTCAGCAATTGTCAGTGAATGTCAGCAGGTGCCCCTTTTTCCCTTATGGACGAATTAATGACATCCCTTTATTTCATATGCACTTGGAGGCACTCAAGGCCAGGTTGGATGGGCCTTGGGCAGCCTGATCTGGAGGCTGGCAGCCCTGACTACAGCAGGGTGTCGGAACTGGGTGGGCTTTGAGGTCCCTTCCAACCTAAGCCATCCTGTGCTTCTACAGACAACAAGGGAACACGCAGAGGCAGCCGGCAACTTACAGGGAATTCTTCAGCCCACTGCCAGTCCTCAAGTTTCTCTTCCCACTGGCCAAATTTTCATTGCAAGCACTGAGAACAAGACTGTCCAGTGGCACACCTTCCCCAGTTTCCTGCTCCAGCAGATTCCAGCCTGGGAGTCAGTGCATTTCACAGAACTGCAGTGGTTGGAAGGGAGGACCTCGGTAACGCACTGAGTCCAATCCCCTGCTAAAGCAGGTCCCTACAGCAGGTCACAGCAGGAGAGTGTCCAGGTGGGTCTTGAATATCACCAGAGAAGGTGACTCCACAAGTACCTTGGGAGGCTTGTTCCAGAGGGTAAACTCTTAGAAACGTCAGCCCCAGAGGAAGCCAGTGACTTAATGCAAAGATATTTCGAGGCAAAGAGCGTAGCTCCATCACAGAACACATATAACCTAAAAAGCTGCCAGCACTGGCAGCCTCATGTTCTGCAGCATCAAGAATTTTTGTGGTTTCTTTTTTTAATTAAATGCTAGTTCTCATCATATATGAATTTCTTAAGCAAAGGCTTGCATTTTTTCTTATGTTAATCTCAATTCAGCAGGGAAAATTTACTGAACAGTTCTATACATTTACAATTCTCTGTCTGAATTTTAATGCAGAAATACATCTCCTAGAGCAAATCTTTTCTTACTTAAACCATCACACTTAAATGGCAGCTCCCCTTCGGTCATTCATCATCCATGATTTTCTTTCACAAAATTTGGTTACAAATAGCTAGTTTTAGGATACCAATTACACAATAACTGATGAACTGTGTCAGTTTCAGAAATAAAGGGATTTCCGATCTGAAATGCAGCCACCAAACAGAAGTCAGGCTCTGGTGCTACACTTTCAGTCTCCCACCAACTCCTGACATCTTGAAGTTGCGTATTGCTGTGTGTGTCAAACATTCTGTCCTCGTTAATAAACTCTTCCAATTTATTTGGCTTGTTCAAGGAAATAGTGTAGAAGAAGAACGCCATTTCATTGGCCATTCATAAGGCTGTGCAAAAAACAAGCAGAAAAATGCAGTTTCCTGACCCCTTCCCATGAAGATGGCAGCTGCCCCGGTGCCAACAACTCCTTCCATAACTAAATCTGAGCTTCAGTCTGCAGGGAAAAGAAGAACTCAGTGTTTGGGTGGACACAGCATCATTTAAACTTTCAGAAATAGCAGTCAGAGCTCGACATGGCACATATAAGCCCCGACCCTTGCTATTTCCAAAGGAAAGCAAGAGGCTGCACTATCCCTGTGGGAGCGCTGAGCAGGAAGGCGTGGGGATCCCAGCCCATAGCCATATCCCTGCAGGTGGGACTGGAACACGCACTCACACACATACACACAGAGTGGATCCACTGCTTTCCTTTTGGCTTCTGGATGGCTCTGCCCCGCTCACGAGCCAGACACCACATCCATCAGTACAGAGAGGAGGGAAGAACAAAATAATTATTAAGAAAGAAGAAAAAAAAAAAAAAAAGAGAAAGATCTTAATTCAGAAGAACGTTTGGGACTTCACTTATGCTTGGGGCTTTGCTTAACCGGGCTGCTGGAAAGCGTTATTGTGGTTGGCCCGGCTCCAGGATCAACTGCTCGCTGTGCGCACAGACTGGAAGCAGCACCCGGAGCGAGAGTCAAAGTATCCTGGGGACAGCAACAGCCGGGGCCGAGCCGCTCTGCTCCTCTGCAGTGATCGCTTCCCACTCTGCAGGGACAGACACGCTACTCTGCAGGAATGCCCACGAGGAGGGCTGGAACTGAGGAGAGATAGGCAGCGCGTTTCATTTATTTCATGCCAGCAACCGAGCAAATCTGGCAACTTAGGGAAAAAAAAAAAAAAAAAAAAAAAAAAAAGCTCCACAGAGTTTGCGTGTGCTTTAAAAAAATAAAAATAAAAAGTGGAAGCACAAAAGATAAGGCCTACTACAGGCAAGCTGCCGCTCTGGAAATAAACTTCTGCCCGCTCGCAACTCTCCGGCCGGCTCCTCAGCCCGCACACGAGGCTACGGCGGAGGCGTCGCGGAGCTCCGGCCGCGGGCTGTGACCCGCGGAGGGCAACGGCCACCAGGCGGCCGCTACCGGTCCCGCCGCTCGGGGAAGCGGAGCAGCGGCTCCGGCCCGGAGAACGCTCGCGCTGCCCCCCGCCCCGAGGGGGCTCCGCCGGCGGAGCCGCCTCTCCGCCCCTCTCGGCCGGGAAGCCGGCCGCCGGGAGCGGAGGAGCGGCCAGAGGGAAGAGCAGGCTGCCCCCGGGGCTCCGGCTCCCGGCTCAGGAGCCGACAAAAGGCACCGCGCCGCCCGCCCGCCCCCGTTGCCCCGAGGCCGGGCGCAGTCCGGACAGCGGGCGGCTGCCTCTCCGCGCGGTGCCGCCCCGCGGCTTACGGCGCTAATGGGATTACGGCGGGCCGAGCGGTGCCCGCCCGCTGTCACCGCCCGGGGAGGGTCGCTCCCCCCCGCCCGCCCCGCAGCCCCCGCCGCGCTGCCCGCCCGGCCCCATTGTTCGCCGTGCCGTCCTTACCGTGCGCGGGGCTGGGGCTGCCGGCTCTCCTCGCTGCGGCTGTTGCAGGGGCAGTGGCGCTCGGCCGCCGGAGGTCCGAGCCATTAAAAGCTCCGCGGGGAGGAGGAGGAGAAGAAGGCGGCGGCGGCGGCGGGTGAAGGAGGGCGGCGGGGGGCCGGAGGGAGCAGGGTCGCCATGTCCGGCTTCCAGCGCGGGGAGCCCACCCGGCCGGGCGCGGAGGAGCGAGGCGGCTGCCGCCCGCGGACCGGGGAAGCGGGAACTGGACGCCGGGCAGCGCGACCGCGCCTCCCCTAACCCTGCCCCCTCCCGGAGGGGGAGCCGCGGGCGGGAGGAGGCGGCCGACAGCCCCCTCCAGCGTTCACAGGCGGCGGATCGCGGCGGCCGCCCGTCTCGGCGCTACCCGCGGCGGAGGGAGGCGAGCGCCGCCGCCCGGATACCTGGCGGCCATCGGGGGCGGGAACGGCGCCCACCGCCGCGCGGGGCACCTCCCGCCTAGAGGCGGCTGTGAGGGGCGGGCGGTCAGGGCAGGGTCCGCCCTCCCGCCCCGTGGAAGTAGGGGATGTCGCTGCCCCTTTCTGTGGCTAGGGGGACCGTGCTGATACGGGGCCTGCGGGGACGCGGTGCCCAGTAGGAAGGTTGCTCCTATTGCTCCGAGAGCCGGCTCGCTTCGCTCATCGTTAGGTGACCGCAAATCCCCGGACAGAATTCAACAAGTGGCAGCAGGCAGGCTGGATGTCAAGGGCTGTCTCTCAAAAACGTCTCCTGTACATGGGCTGGGAGAACACCACACAAGGGCAAGCTGGGGACCATGCCTCTCTCAGAGCATGAGCATCTCTATGCTATGCATTCATCTCCTCAGAGAAGTGCTAGAGCTATGGCAAAAAGGCTCCCAAATACACTTTGGAGAAGCTCTTAAAACACCGCATTATTTTCCCAAAGAAGTCTGGTGAGATAGAGCACAGCAAGGAGCAGCACAGGGGCCTTACGGGTTCTCCCATTGACTTGGGAGGGAGCAGTGAACTGAGTGTGTATTTATAAAGTAACCCTTCCTCAGCATTCAGTATCTATGCATAGAATCACAGAATCACAGAATGGCCAGGGTTGGAAGGGACCTCAAGGATCACGAATCTCCAACCCCCCTGCCACATGCAGGGCCACCAACCTCCACATTTAATACTAGTCCAGGCTACCCAGGGCTCCATCCAGTCTGGCCTTGAACACCTCCAGGGACAGGGCATCCACAACCTCTCTGGGCAGCCTGTTCCAGCACCTCATCACTCTCTCTGTAAAGAACTCAAAAAGAAAATGCATCATTTCAGGAACCCAATATGAGAACACTGCAAACATTTTCTCCTTTAAGCTGTGCCTTTGCTTTATCCTCCAAAAACAAATTCTTCTACTGTCAACAGCAGTGCTTCTGTGCATAAACACCCCACTACAGACACCTTGGTGTATCTGCAGGGATGCACCAACCAACCTTCTGGAAGCCTTTTCCTTGGTCAGCTCCCAGACCTTAACTGAAGCACATAGGGAACTGACTGAAAGGCTGGAAATTGTTCTTTGGCTGTCAACACTTGATAAGAGAGTAACTACTGTTATTCTCCCCAGACCTTTTCCACATAGTGATCTGTAGATCCGTCTGTAGAAAACCAAGAGGAAAGGCTACATGGTCACCCAAACAACATGAACGGAGATTGAGAACACAGATGTAAGCTTTGCTTTTTCCAAATACTTATTTTGCCAGCAGCTTTAACTACTAATTAAGGTGCAGTTAGGGTAAGAGCGGTGCTGCAAGGGCCAACAACAGCATTTAGAATTTCCTGGTGCTTTTTATGTAGGCTTCCCAATCACTAATGTCTCATTCACACTTAACGCAGAGTTGTTGTAATCAAATTAATGAGGTCATCTTCAATGCCTACCAAGTCTCAGTGACCTCGAAACTTTTCTCTGTATTAAACAGAAGTAATAAGCTGCCTTGCAGCTACTGATCATTCATTACTGAGCTCCAAAAAGCAACAGTGACATCTTTTACTGAATGGTAATCTTACTGAGGCATCAAAAATGGTAATAGGTTGGCCACTTCTTCAGGAGACACAGACAATCTTGTATCTATCTGGTTTAATTAGTTGACTCTCAATTCTTGAGTCTTCTGGAAGATAGAGCACAACTAGTGGCCGACATCTAAACATCTAAAGATATCAAGAATTTACTCTCTCTCATTGTTCATGCAGTCAGTCATAAAGGCATCTCTCACCCATCTGTTCCCATTGATGCTCTCTTCTAAGCAGCACTTTTTCTCTAAAGAGCATTTCTCTTTTGTAAATGACACATGGCCAGCAGCAGCTTGTATATTTCCGAAAAGCATTAATTGCTGCTGTTAGATTCCTGTAGTACATAGAGTCACATTGTTTCCACGTTGAATGAGGCATGGAATTTGTTGGGACATCAAATAAATAGGATCATTTGAGAGAGACAGCATGTGTTCTTTTTGCAAAGTAGCTGAATTTAGAAAAAATGATTCTAATTAGGTCAATTTTTTTGAAAGAAAAAAATAAGCTCTGTCTGCATTCACTGACACCAAAGAACTGGATTTCAGATTAACCAAAACCAAATGGGCACCATTGTTCAAGTCTGCTTTACCCAAGGAATGGAAAGGAAGACATTGATTGAAAGGGTTCTGTCATCTTGAGAACTTGCCTCTGTGCCTCCTGCCTGTTTCCCTGTAAGGAAGAAATAGCAACAGCTGTGATGGAATGCAGGTAACTGCTCTTGGGAAAGCTTTCACATCTTACAGTTATCTTTTATTGAAATTTTATCCCATTTGCTGCAAGGTTCTAGAAGGCATCTGCATACATAGTTAGTCATGGCAGAATACCTTCCATAATCTCACTTTTTTTCCTGCCATATGATAACTTGTTTGCCTTTCTGTGTACTTTGTCAGGACAAATCACTGGACTTAAAGCCTGAGTATGTGGATTAAGTTCTTTGGTATGGTTTACACTAATGTCAGAGAATGGTCCTTCTGGCCTTAATCAATATCTGTTTTGTAAACTACTTCAAAAATATGTTGAGTTCAAATATTTGTCTCTGTTTTATTAGGGAGAGAAGCTGAGATGCTGCCCTAATAGAAATGTATTTCAGCCACATCTTTTGCCCATGTCGTTCTTTTTTTCATAAACATTCCACAGATGTTTTCCCTGGAGCTTGAAATTTTGTTTCAAAGACCCTTTCAACAAATACTTTTGGTCTAGATTTTTCAGTATGTTCTGGTCTAAATGTGGCTTGTGGCTCAATCTTGCAAACCTAAGGTACTGATCGGTATGTTTTAGGCCTTCTTTCATATGCCTTAATGTTAGTTCTCATAACATTGGCATGTATCTGTGTCAGTGAGTTGTGATATCTCACATGTCTTTGCTGATTTAGTTGAAGAGCACAGCAGAATTCTCCATGCAAGTCTTTCAGTATTATTTCACCATTATCTTTATTAAGTTTTCCCCCACCTCATTATTTTTTGTTTAGGATATATTTGTGTTACAGTCTTCAGTTAAGTTGATCAAACCACTTGATTTTCTGGTAGGGCTAGTAATGTTGGACTGACACACCTTGCTTCTGCATCAGGATTTAACACCTAACTACAGCTAGAAGCAGTGATAATTAACAATATATAGTCCTAACAGTACAACATGTCTTAACTTTGGGGGGAAAAAAAAGGGAAAAAAGAAACAAAGCCACACAAAAAGACCCATTGCCAAATAGTAAAGGAATCCATTACCATTCTCAAACGTTAGGAATTTCATTAGGTGAAATATTCAACCATTAAATAGAAGTGACTGAAGTACTAACAGCCCACTAACTACCACATTTAGTGGTAGTTTACTTCCTGCTCCTATAGGACTGTGAATTAAAAGAAAGCTTTTTCAAGGCTAAATGCAAAAGTTTCCCAAGGCCTCAAGAACTGATACAAGAGGGCCTTTGCATATCAAGCTAGCAGAACAAGCCCCACTTCCTAACTTCATCATTACTGTACAACATCACCTTTGTTACACATCATCATATTTACCTTGTGTTGTCCAATGCATCTGTGTTTCAGGATGAACACGTTTGTTACATTAGCCGCTTCTATGTGCTAAGGTGATCATCAGTGAGTCAACAGATGAATCATCCCTGAAGCTTCAGAGCTAAAAAGTTCACTGGAAATTAATGAACAACTTGTACTCCTCAAAACAACATAAGATTGCATCACTTCTGCTTACTTCATGCTTGCTTTTTCACTTCTGTGCATACAAGAGGAAAAGAAAGGCTTATCTTTTCAATAACACTGAAAATTCTGAAACATTTGTTAACGGACAAAGATGTCAAAGTACTCCAATGTAAATAAAAACATTATTAAGAAAATAATCTATTATATTTGCCTGTAAAATGATATTTTTCAAGTCACATGTATCAGAACACTTAAGAAAATATAAGCCAAGAAAATGCAAATTGAAAAAACTAATTGAAGATCCTTTTGCTATTTGTATTCAGGTTTCCTCTCCTAAAATCCATTTTCAGCCTTTCTCCCAAAAGAAGGGAAAGAGAACACTTTCAGGACAAAATAAGTATCCTTCCCCTGCAATGATTCCCATCAGAAGCAACATATCTCTTCTGTCATGGTGAGGAGAGAGATAATGGAAAGAGTAAGCATTTGCAGATGGGAAATGATTTTGTGTGTTAAATAAAAATACTGCTGAAGAGGAGCTGGCCTCTTCACCCAGTGCTTTGAACCCACACTGCAAGGTGCCATATTCAGCAGGTGCGATCCTGCTTCTGGACATGGCTTTTAGAAACCAAACAACATCATCCATCTTTCAGTTCTGTTTTTGAGAAGAAAACCAAATCTATTTGAAAACAGAATGTCTCTTAAAAATTCAGAGTCTGAGGCAGAATTCCCTGTATCATGGCTCATTTCTTTCCAGTGCTTTTGTCATTTTGGGTAGAGCAAACTTTGTAAAAGGTTTGTATATGCGAAGGTGATGATTTCCAGAAAGACTTGTACAACTAAGTTCATTAAATGATTCTGAGACCTTTTAGCAGTGTGAGGAAGCAGAACCACCTCGGTATCTGGGCTGATATAAGCAAACATAGCTCTAAAACAGAGAAAACAATGCTGTTTCTACAGCCTCTCAGAATTTATGCCATGAGCAATCACAACTGAAGAGTACTCTTATATATATAAAAACTGGAAGAACACAGAACAATAAATGTGGCTTATAGCATTATTAAAGGTTCCCATGACAGTAATAACCCTCTTGCTCTCCACTTTCCCCTCCATCCCTCTGCCAGTATTTTTACTGTGACTTTCTGCAGGTGAATACATCTGGAACACTGCGGTATGTCTGAATAAATCCTCCTGGGATAGTGTGGAAACCTTATCTCATGCACCATCACGTCCAGAATTTCTCATGGTTCTTCCCTAACTTTGTATTGGACAGCAGGCATTTCATTTTTACATCAGCT